AAAAAAAAAAAAAAAAAAGACGAAATACTCGTTGTTTCCCCCACAAGTTTAATGCCGAAGAATATTTTATCGTTAACATCGATCTCTAGGGAGCTAATGTACACTTGAGTTCTTTGTTAATGATCATAGTCACATTAGATGGATTTATCCACTTCCGATGCAATGTTACGCATTAATAAATAATTCGTTCTCGTAAAAGAACGAAGAGGGATATTAAATCAAAGATTAGCCTAACGTCTTTTAATAATTGTGCATAATGCTGCGATTACATGCACCGTTCACAATGACGTGTTGTATAGGGTGGTTTTGAAATACAGATCAATTAATATATCTATGAATAATATTATTTAACGTAAAAGCGATATAGATCAGTTTTAACAAGAGTTTTCAAAACATGCGGATTTACACAACTTTGAGACAACATTTCGTACACTACATAAGGAACACAATAAATACCGTATTACGGGGGCAAGCAATTCGCTTGGAGGTTTTTTTTTTTTTTTTTGGACGATGCACGCGTGCGCACGCGCGCGAATAATCTAGTGTACATTTTCTTTTTGAGTTTAAAGCAAACGCCACTGCCATAATGAAAGACAAACCTATACGAGAGGAAACAAAATAGATACAGTATGAATGATGAAATAAGCCCGCAATACCAGTATCTCGGAATTGAAAAAAAAAAAAACCCTCGTCTCGACAAGAGACGTCATCTTAATTAACTTTAACTCGTCATCTTATTTAACGTTTCGTTATTCGCCTCTCGACCTATCACGCGTAATCGCTTGTATATTTGTAATTTTGCGTGTAATGTTATCGTGCGTCATACAGAAATTCGATGACTCTTCGCTGTACGGTACGATATAGCGTAGCAGATATAATTGGGTGTTTTAGCGAGAGCATTAACGAGAAATCAGTAAGGCGTTATTTCTTTCTAGATTAAGGATAATTTCTGCTGCTTGTGCTAATAGTGCGACGACTTCTATTTTCTTCTGTAAGTTACACACCTTTTAAGTGTCGCACGAACGTGTACAATACGGGGATATAAATAAGGATAGAACGTTCGTGTGGACAACGAAAACCGAAATGCACCTCGGAGTCAGTAACAAAAGCCGATGGTTGCTAGGCACAGCCATTGCTACAGATAGTCGTAGATGTAATTTTAATTTGTAATATCGTTATTGTAAGAATATAGGACCGCGCTATGGATTAGGGTGACGATCCCTTATTATGTCCCTCTGTCACTGTATTATCTTTAACTGTTTCCATCTTCCTTCCCGTCGCGCATCCCTTCGAAGGTATTGATGTGACCGCGCCCGGGCAACGCTTGACAAATTTAGATTATCTTGCATTAAAAATTGTATTTACTATTATTAACTATACGATTAACTACTACGCGCTGTACGCAGAGGAAGAAACAAACTTTATTTACCAAATACCAGTTTTTTAATAAAAATCTTTTTGTGAAAGAAAATATTGAACGTTTTCTACCTCACACATGTATATCGAAATAATAATTATTTTATATTTATTTTTTGCGTAAAATGCGTAAAATATACAATACGCAGTGTTAACTATAAAGTATAAAATTATCTAACAATTAACAAATAACGCAATATTTTCTGCATATGTTGAGTATACAACAAGATCGATATTAGATTTTTGTTAAGTTCAGAAAATGCTTTAAATAATTTACGAGACCTCGATATGCGTGTTTTCTTTATGTGTTAATATTTGAAAGTTATTAAATTCTTAAATTAAATTAATGTTCATTTATGATTCATATATATTTATTGACGCATATCTCCGATGATATTTTTTCCGTTATTTTCTCCGTTACCCTTATTACCATCTCCTGTTTATTACCATTTTACACGTTTAGTTCCTTTTTCTCGCGATACTAGTCGCGAGGGCGTTGGCGTATATCGATATGTACGAAGCACGCTTGACGAATCTTTGATCCACGCCACAGAATTCGTTAAAAACTATGGCTGCGTTCCGTTTATTCACTGCAAGTACTGAAAATCTATAATATACGTGACGCGAACTATAAATTTTCAGTCCTGCAGTGCATAACGGAACGCAGCCTTTAAGCGGGGTGCACAGACTTTTGCATAACGCATAATACATATACATAAAGAATTTGATTGGTCCATTGACTCGTGCATAAGAAAATGGGCCAATGAAATTCCTTATGCACATGCTTTATGCGTTATGCAAAAGTCTGTGTTGGGGTTCTTATAATTCATTGACGACGCAATCAATTTTGCAAATTACACGCACGTACCTAGCAATAAGAAACCATCCACTGCACTATCGATGCATCTGAGCGAGAAAACGACACATTCGAAAATCATTCCAGGCTCCGACCATTCCAAGCCTACCGTTGACTGCGAAATCTTGGGAGTTTTTACAATACCGTTTTATTCAAATACGGTGAACGCTAAGATCACGTTATCTTTTTTTCACAACTAATTAAGAAAAGGATAACATGATTTTAACATTCATATTGGATAAACGGGTATTGTAAAAACTCCATAATGAAGATAGCACTCAATATTTGATATCGAGAATCGTAAATATCGAAATTCAAAGTTTCGAAAATTGTAGATATCGAAAAATGCGGCGAGCCAATCCATGTTTTTTCTATTACCCACATGGTTGCTTCTATTTATTTTGGCTGCGCGTTCTAAAATTTAATGTTAACAACGCTTGTGGAATAATTTCATCCTTGTTGTTTATTAAATCTTAAACAAGGACAAACGATATGCTTGCGAGCGTGTATGGTTTATGATAAATGTAAAACAAATGAAGAAGACACAAATATACACACACAAGTTGACATACTGTCAAAGTAGTTGTCATGCAAATTCATTGATAATATTATAACATAAGAAGATAGCATAACGAGATCGCAAATAATCGTTCGTTCGATATGATTAAGTTATTTTCATAGTACGCTATTTCATATCGTTTTGCTTTGACAACTCAACACAAATGTGATAATAATAATAAGAAGCTTACTTTGACGATGTGCCGCGAGAACTCTCACGCCGCAGTATGAAAAATCGTTTATACGATTACATCTGCATTTTCGTCGTACTCGAGATATTGCAGTCGTCAATTTGTTGTACGAAAATTGTCAGTGATACTCGCAGGTATTGACAGTATGTGATTTTTTTAGATCCTGCATCACCCGGATGTCTCGTATGATTTGTTATCAATAGGATTTTACACTTTCCTCTTATTATTATCTGTTATGTATTGTTTTCTGTATGTAAATATATTTCCATACAACAGAGATCATTCCAGCAAAATTGCAATGTTCCAACAATATTGCAGTAATATTGGAAATGTTGCAGTTATGTTACAATGCAAGCTTTTGTACTATATGAGTTTTTTTTTTAATATTTTACATTGTTTAGAAGATTACATGTTTCTAGAACAAAACGGGAGATATCTGTTGCTGAAACGTCACAATTAAAAGAAGAGGCCAACTATGCAAAAGAAATTAATTTGCAGCATGAAGAGAAAAGTAATAATGATCTTGCAGAAGATGGTACATATCAAGATGATACAGATAAAAAACGCAAAATTTCGAAGAAAGCTGCGAATTTCATGAGCTCCACTGACTTTCGTCCATCAAACGCTGAAGAATCTTTTAAACATGACAATGTATCCAGCTATTTTAACTCGAATGGGGATTTAGAAGAAACGAAAGAAGTGAATGAAGAAGCGACAAAACGAGACCATGATAAAAATGAAGAAGCAAGCAATCTCATCCGTTTACCTAGGAACGCAAATGACGACTTCAACAGGTATATCGATCAGGATGAAAAATCGAGTTTATACGATGATTACGAGACGAAAGACATCGCAAAGCGTGGTGTTCTAAGCGGCTCAGAGGATTACGAGGAAATGGAAGACGATTTACCAGAAGTAGAAGCTATGGCTGCAGTGCAAGAATTAACAAATGAAGCCGAAAAGAGAGAAACACAGAAGGATGCTCGGGTGAAAAGAGACCAAGCGGAAACTTCAGAAATGCTGGATAAATCCAGGTCAAATCTAGACAATCCAGCAAAGTTAGAAGAATCAAAAATTGCAGAAAACAATCCTTACTCGCGCGAAGTTTCTCGTACCGAATTGTTGAAAAGTTTTAACGAGGCACCCAACATGGTCAAAGATTTCGGATCAAAGGACGCAATCTCAAAGTTGAGCGGTTCCTCTAAAATCGAAGAATCAGCAAGCGCAGGTGCTCCGTCCAAGAAAGGCGAATCAAATGCAGAATACGAGAAACGCGTGGAAGACGAAATTCAACGGAAGATTGATTCGATTAAGGAGGAGATTAAACGAGATATTGAAGCGCAGCAACAAATAGGAGACATCGAGAATAACAATGCTAGATTCGACGAGTTACATGATCAAGAGCACGAGGATGAGGAGAGACAGAACTTTGAGAATGAATTAATCAAGAAGCGCCAGACTATAGCCAAGAGATCTGTACAAGAGATTGCTGATGATGCTATCACTTCTAATAATAGTGAGAAGAAACGAGCTTCGAAAAAAGAACAGCATAAAAAACGGCAACATCGATCTAGTAAGATCAGTACATTGGATACCTCAGAGCAGAATGAAAATCTGAAAAGACAAGTCATGACCGATTACGACAAGTCTTCTGAGCAAGTTCCTTCGAAAGAGCTTTTCAAAAAGAAACGCGAGCGTGTCAGACAAATTTTTTTGGTGAATAACGATCAGCATCAGACAAAGAGAAGACAACTGAGAAGCTATCCGTTACCATCTGCTCAGGCAGTTGTCAAAGATGAATTATTTATGAATCCCAAACTGAATTCGTATCTTCATACGGACAATAGAATGGTAAGGCTTAACAGAAAGCGGACTAAAATCATTCACGTTACTGAGCGATATATTATTAAAAATTGATTTATATTATATAAAACAAATTGCACATACAGCTACTACTTAAAATATAAGTATTAATATAATAAGTATAAAAATAAGAAAGTAATAAAATTGTTGCAGCTTGAAAAATTTTCGCCAGTTGACAGCAAAGATGAAAATAACGAAAAAGAACAGAGCCCTTCAGCAGAACAGTCAGATTCTTCGGTATCTCTTATTGAAAGTTCACAGGAATTGAGTCCACGTTTAGAAAAAGAATACAAAGAGGCCTTTGGTGGGTTACAGAGTGAACCTGGCAACGCTCTAGCCAGATTCAAGAGGGTCAAACGTGTGCTAACAAACGGTCCTAATACAATTTAAAATTTTTGTTAAGGTGTAAAATGACATATAGATTAATCTTCCTTTAATAATCTTCAGGATAAAAATATTTCTATTATACAAAATGAAATTATATAAAAAATATAACGATATTTTTGAATTATAGTTAATAGCAAAAGGCTAAATAAATAGGAATATATAAGGTTAGATGTGTGTAAAGAAATATCGTAGATATTAAAAGCAGAATAATACATTTATAATTAAAGAAATGATTATATGTAGCTATAATAAAATGCAATATCATTAATGTTACAAAACATTTCGAGATTGTCAGTTGATTTAATCATAAGCTTAAATAAAAAATATATAAATTCTTACAAAAATGCATAACTATGCTATTTAACATTAATTTATAAATTTCTATGCCGATTATGTAATCTTAAAAGAAATCAAGTCAAACATCAAGATATTTGTAATTAAATTTCGCTCGTTTTTTGAAATGCAAAGAAAAAATTGTCTAAATCGAGTGATAAGATTTTTTATAAAATAAATTTCTAGTTTACAATGTTAATACAACATAAAAATAAAAAATATAAAATATATAAAAAAATATTGAATATTTCGGAACTCATGGGCCCTTCTTCAGCGATCCTTATAGTTGTTACAATGTTATAAAGATAAAAACAATTACGGTTTAAGCGACATGGTGTGATATAATTTGTTCGGAGAAATTAATTCTCCTGTTTTTGTGTGAATATGGAAATTGTGTAGTAAAATGTATGAAACAGGAGCATCTTTACATATGGTTACCATATGTACGGAAAAAAAATACCATAATATGGTATTCCGTTAAGCGCAAGTGTTACAAGTGTTTTTTTTATATTATTTTATATTTTTTTATGTATTTAGAATGTTTTTTTCTTTATACAAAATATTTATTTTTTTCAGTTATAAAAATTATTAAAAATATTGATAGTACTTATAAAATGAAAGAAATGTACATGTTATTCAAAATTTTCAATAACTGTTGTTAAATTTTTCTTTTCCTCTACACTTGCAAAACTATATTGTATAGATAATGCAGACAATTCTTTGAGCTGTTGTCTTCCAATATTAAACACAGAACTTAATATCTCCAATTCTTTTGACAAGCATGTATTAAATACACCTTTATCGTCAGTCTAAAAAAAGTTATATTTTAATTTTTTAATTTTTGAACAATATATGCTATTTTTTATACTTACTCCAATAGTTATGGGATGTCCAGCTTTGTACAGATATTTAAATTGATGATACATATAAGATGACACTGTTTTACATTTAATGTTGGATGTTAAGCATAATTCTAGATTAAAAGAAAAAATAATGTTTATGCATATTAGCATTCATCAACATTTTTTTTGAAAAAAAGAATTATTACTCTTAAAGATTTCTTACCAACAGGAATTTTGGATTCCAAAAGTGTATCAAATAATTGCTGAGAACCTTGCAAATTAGGATGAATGCAAGTACAATGTCCCAAACGATCAGGTTTGAATTGTAATATATCATTTGTTTCCATTTTATTTGGTACCTGCATATGTATTATATATATATTTGTGTGTGTGTGTGTGTACTATTTATCTATTATATAAAAAAATAATTGATTTTATTTGGAAGATAATTTACCTCTGCACAATGAGCTGTAATTCTAAGGCCTACTTTCCTACAAGTTTCTAATAATTCTAAAAATGAATCACCCGCTGTTGGATCACCACTAAGATCAATACCCACAACATATTCTGGATATTTTTCCATGAACTGTATGGCAAGGTTTATGTTTTCTTCTGCAGATTCGTAACCTTGTTTTCGATTAATTGATACTAGTAGTTTTACAAGAATTTGTGGAAAATCAGATTTTGACGCTCTATATATATAAGGTGTAATAATACTAATTATTTTAAGAAAAAATAAAAAAATGTGCCACATATATATATACATTTAAACAAGAATCTGCTATACTATACAATATACATAGACATTACCAAGTTACTTACTCAATAGCTTTTATTATAGCTTGAAGATATTCTGTTTTTGTCATTACATCCTTTATAGCACGAGGGGTACTTCTCAATTCTAAATAAATCACGTTATCCTCATGAAATTCTTTTATCACATCACAAGCAGCAACAAATACAGCCTGTGGTGTAATTGTTAGTGCATGAGCTATGTCAAACATTTTAAAACATCTAAAAAATTAATAACATATAGCACATTTTTTATTAAACAATTTATTACTTTATCTCTATATTTTATAGGTAAGTAAAAAAAAGCCTATGTACTCGCTTAAAGACGAGAAATTGGTAGTATCCAGATCCACAAAAGTTTCATCACAAGTAGTGTCTGAGCGTTGCATTTTACATAATTTTTGCAACGTATTTACGCTTAATGAACCATTTAAATGTGCATGAAGTTCCTGATAAGTAATAAAAAAAATTATTTAGTATATTTTAAAATGTATAATATTATGAGGTATAAAATAAAAGTACTCATTTGTTACAATAAGCATCATTCTTAAGACCTCTATACACGGTCCATAATACTGTCAGTATTAACGAATACTGACAGTATGGGAGAGTTTCTTAATTCTTCGATCGATCAATCGATGAATTAAAACATTCGTCCTATTATTGATCATGTATTAATAATTAATATTGATGGATTGACGTAGAATACTAACATTACTAACAATGATTTGGATTTGAATACATACTTTTTCCTTAAGATCCATGTTGCCATAGATAATACGTCAAACCATATCAAACTGAAGAATTATATTGTCAATAATACTGATCGTATAAGGTTGTAAAAACTAACGCTACTGTCAATAATACTGATCAGTATTACTGACTCAGTATTATTGACCGTGTAGGGAGGCCTTTAGATTCGATTTAAAACATACCACTTTGGGTAACTTTCGGCAAAACTCTTGTATATCCATTTTGTAATATTTTAACTTTTTATTATATATAAAATTGTAAAAAATAAACTAGATCCTCCCGCCGGCTGTGTGGCTCCGCGGCAAGACGATGGCTTGCGCGGCTTGCTAACACGAACTACTACTACAAGGCCTCGATTCGAATCGAACCCGGCATCGCGTTCGAGCGTCCGACATTTTTTCTCGGCCCAGCTCTTACACAATATATCTTAACTTTATAAAATGATCATTAATAATGTTCTATAAAACAAATATTCACACGTTGTAAGTACAGAGTATTAACGTGACTGTTACGTTAATGAATTGTTTTGATAGATCAGAGGATGTTTATAGTAACTCTAATGTTTACCTGTTACTGGCGCCACCATATACACAAAGTATATACACAGAACTATGCAGCCACAGATATTTCCGGCGGATAACACATTTAGGGCCGATTGTTTCATCTTTCGGTAAGTTTACCTATTAGGTAAATCTGACTAATCCGCGCACGTAATTGGATAATACATTATACTTGTATAATATAATTATATATATAAAATATATTAAAATATAATATTTAAAAATTGGAAAATTTTTTAAAATCTGAAAAAATATTAAATTATAGAACAGCGTGTATATTTTATATTTTAACAAAGTTTCTATATATAAATATACCAATATGATGGGTTTCTAAATTTTTTCGATTTTAGTATAAAGTTCATTTATTGCAGCATTTCTCAATTTTGCGTCTATTTTAATCCTGTAAAGGGAATAATTTCGGAGATTTATATTGATCTCCAATATCACGACAATAATTTGATCACATCCAGTTAACTTTTAACAAATCATCAATATATATAGTATCAGAACTATCAGATCCATATTTTACAAGAGTTAAATATTGCAGTAAATAAACTTTTTATATATTTTAATTTTACTATTATTATAGTATATATCCAATATACTATTATATTATACGTATAATCTGATAGCCATGAAGGAAGTTCTGCTGATAGCTTATGATTGATGAGTTTTGCAAACATGATAAGAGAATGTAGTGTATTAGAGTCAAGTAGTATATATTGAAGGAAAAATAATTTTTTTTTTCATTTGTACGCATTAAAACAATTTTTTTTTATATAATATTACGCATGACTATGACGCTTTGTATGAAAATTTTTGTCTTGTCTTTTAAAGAAAATATTGAATTGATTAATAAAATACTGAAATAATGAAATAATTTATTTTGTATGTTACACAAATATTTGCATGTTATAACACTGTATATATATTGTAACAGTTTATATATAATCATATTTAACATATATTTATTGAATAAGTAATTAACGTTATATATGTACATATGCGTATATTAAAAGTGTATGTTCCATATCAAATATTATTACAAGATATATTTACATGTATAGCATTGAGAAATTCTTAAACTGCCATGTCTCTACATGTTATATAATACATAAAGAAATTTTAGCGCATTAAAAAACCACACACTGATTCTTATTGCCCTTTTTGTTTCGATTATTTTTAGAAATATTTCTGGCATCTCTCATATTAATTTTCATTATAATATTTATTGCGTATACATAACGAAAGGATCAACAGCTAAAGCTATTAGACAAAATTATTTAACAGTAGTTCGTCAACGTTCAAACCATGTTTTTATTTAACAGTAGTTTATCATAATTTCATATCACAAGTAATTATTTTTCTAGTTTTCATTTGCGAAGAGAAATTTATGGACCACGAAGTTGAGCTAATAAAGCTTCATTTTTTCGACATTCAATAGTAAGCTGTCTAACTGCCGTAACATATTTGCGTTGCTGTTCTACAAGAGTGACGAGTTGTCGACTAAGCGTATCTCGCCTTCCTTTTTCGTCGGTGCATCGTTTCTCCACCTAAATAAAAAATTGTTATTTAAAATTGATGTTTGATTCAGCAGTATTAATTTAATTTATCATTGAATATAATGGAAATAAAGTAAAAGAAAATTTATTTTTTCATCTTACCATCGCTTTGTTGCGTTTCACGCCTGCAACAATTGTTTCAAATTGTTTGAGGAACTGTTCCTTGCCACTTGTTGATGACATAGCTCTGTTATAAAATATATTAAATTACATGTATGTGTGTTAAGATTCCAAATATTTTAAAATACATAAGTAATATTTATAGCACGTACTCATTATAGTTATCTTGAATAGAATTTAGCAACGACAATTCCTTACTTATATATAATTTTGTATCATCGAGGGTGTTGTATAACGTATAATATTGTTTAGTTTCTTTATGCTTAGCTGAAACTGTAATATGCTTTTTTAATTTAAATTTTGCGAATTACAATGTAAACACTTTTAAATTACAAAATTGTTTTTGTCTGTAAATAAAAATTAATCCAGTTAACCTTGATTATAAAGTTCCATAAAACGTCGTTGATACTGTGTTAATTCAGAACGTCCTGGAACATCGTCCAATTGTCTCGTTAAAGATGCAATAATTCTATTCTTTTTAGCCAATTGCAATCGCCCTCGTGTTATAATTTCCTTTTGCTCTTCATATTCTTTAACACGATCTTCCTCTTCCATCGGAGCACCGTTTTCAATCTCTTGTAACATATCTCGAAGAATATTCAAGTCAGACTTACATTGTTCTCGAAAATTATGTTCTTGTTCTTTTAATCCTTCATGTACAGATAGAAGTTCCTCTAATTGTTTGAAAGTACTGAAAATTGAATAAAAATACTTATTTCATATTTAAGTAAATACGAAAAAAAGTTATTAATATCAATAAAAAAATTAATGTATGTCTTATTTATAATCAGGCTATAATTTCTACTAAATACCTATCATTGTCATTAATTCCAATTTCGTGAATTTTTTTAAACGAGCGTTCAATGGTTTCTCTTCTTGCACGATATTCTTTCACCTTTTCTACTATTTCAGTAAGTTTATCAGATAAACTATCTCTCTCTTTCGTTAACTTGCGTACTCTAGATTGTAATGTTGTTTTTTGTTTCTGTAATGCAATTAGAGCGCGCGACGAATCTGTTGCATCACCCTCCTATATTAATAAAAAATATTATATTGTAAAACATGCTTTAATTATATTGTGTAAAATATTCTATATTTAAATTTTTTTACCTCTATTTTAGAAGTAGCCATGGTTGCATATTTTTCTGCCACTTTAGCAATTTCTTGCGCTTGTATACCAACAATATTTCCAAGTGTACTTACATTTAAACGCATCTGTATTAAAAATTAATAGTTATAATACTATAAAATATAATTTATAATTGACTTTTTAGAAAAAGAGGATAGTTTTTTAATGTTTCTTAATGAGTATGATTCAAATAATGTTTCATTAAACTTTGAATAAATTTTTTTGAAGCATTACAAATAAAAAGTACAAATATACTGTCTTTAATAAAAAAACTCAATTATAAACTGTCTTTGATAGAAAAGTATATTTTAAACAGCTTTGAAAGCACCCTTTCTCTCTTAACATGTAACATGTTTTAAAATCTACATACCGAATTTTCTTCTATGATTGATAGAGCAGCGGCAATCTGTTCTGTAGTGTTCTAAAACATATAAATTACATTGCATGCATTTTTCTACTACATCAATAAATATTTCAAACAAATGAATTAAAAATGATGCATTTTATAATAAATAATTACCTTTTCATTTTTTTCATTACTTGACTCATTCTTTGAATCATTGCTTTTAGATTCCGTTATTGTTGTTGTATTTTTAACAGCCTCAAATGGTGCTTCATATTCTAATACTGTACCAATAAACCTATTTGATTCATCTTTTATGAAATCCTCTTTTTGTTTAAATAAACGCCGTGGTTCATAAGCTTTCTAGTATATATTAAAGAAATATTAAAAAACAGTGCATATTAACTAGAAATTTGCATGTATGTTTTTACAAGTGTCTATAAATAATAATATATACCTTAACTGAACGTAAATTTTTAATAATGTTGTCATTAGCTGTTGCTCCAATCTCGGAATCTTCACTAAAAGTATGTTTTTTATGAAATTGATTCAATGCAAAAGCTCTCACAAAATCTGCCATTTCCTGTCGCATTTCCATAGAACGCTTTACTAGCCACTGAATAACTGGGAATATATGAATACAGTCTAGACCTTGTATCTGATGTGGTTCTATTCGATATGGACAGTTCATTTTGGGGAGCATAATTACAATTTTCTCTGTCAAGGAACTGCAATATACATATTTTACACAATTATACATTAAAGTTATTAAAAAACAAAAACAAATTTAAATTTGGCTATCTATATATATATATATATAGGAGTCAACGTGGTAAGTGATGCGTATTGTTGTTGTAAAATAATTTACTAATTTTTATTTTAGCCAATATTGATATAACTTCAGCAAATATTGATATAAAAAATCTTCTTGTGACCACATGGAAGCACAATTGGCTAACAATAAGAGTTGTGCTTCCATGTGGTCACAAGAAGATTTTTTAATAGCAATATTTGCTGAAGATGGCTAAAATATATAGCCGAAACGTCCAGAATTGTTAAACAGCGATGTATTCACATTTCATCATGGAAATATTAAACATCGTGGGAACTTATTACATCATGTTTTAGTAAATTATTTTACAACAATACGCATCACTTACTGCATTGACTCCTATATAGCTAAATTTAAATTTGTTTTTGTTTTTTGATTTTGAATTATAAGGAGTCGAATATTATTTATTATATTTGATTAAAGTTATTATTGAAGATATTTTTTGGCTAAGAGAATTTAAAAATAACAAATTTGTTATAACATATTATATATAAAAGAAAATTAATACATAAATAAACTCTATATTTCCAAGTGTAACATGATGTATAATACATACATTTTTTGACCAATTGTAAGATTCTCTTGAAAAAGTAAATCTACATCTACATCAAAATTGCATGATTCTATGCACCAGGTCATACCACCGACAACCTAATCAAATAAATTATTTTTTAAATTACACATAAATTTAATAAAAATAAAATAAGATTACAAACCTTATCAAAATTTGATAAACCTTTTATTCGTGCTCTAAAGTAACCTGCAGCGACAAGTAAATCAATAATTTCTTGAAATTTAGTGGTTTGTTCCTCATCTTCACGTACATCGACCTAAGGACATAACATAAAACATTTAAAAAAGATTAATTTTTTAACTATCATTGCTGATAATTAAATGTCTTGAAATATTTTACCTCTGTACTTTCAGAACTTCTTAATAATCTTTTTGGCATATCGTTCAGCATATTGTGCTTTTTCAGAAATAGTACGTTATTTATTTCAATATATTTAGGATTAAAATTAAAAAGAGAATGTATTAATTTGTTGAAACTATGTAAAAGTTTCTAACCCCTTAACTGCTGTCAATTTAGTTCTCAACTTATCATTCGACAGCAAGAAACCGGAAGTCGGTGCTGCGCCCTGCCTTGACATCTGAAAGTTGTGAATTAATCGAATTTTCATCCATTTCCGTCCCTTCGGTCACTTGTCTAAAATACACTATACAGTATACAGAGGGCAATAGAGAGCTTGAATGTTATAGGTTAGTTTCAAGCTTAAGCAATATCTGGCAAAATCGTTGTTTTTGAAAGTTTGTATGATAGTTGTTTTCAGTTATTTTATTGTGTACGGGGAAACGCATCGTCATTACTTATTTTACATAAATGATACGTGCACGTGTATGGCTCTACGTGGAGACGTGTATGAGTAAGGACAGAGGTTGATCAGCGCACATTGTGTACTGCAAATTTCTTACGGATCGTGTGTCGCAGTCACATTTTGTCACATCGCTATTTTTTATATTATGAAGAGACGCCAAAGGAGACCGGTCCTGACGTTCAACAAGCCGCAAGGCAGTTATCACGGCGAGCACTCGCAGAGTAAATATCAATTTCTAGTTGGTGCACTGATTATGTTAACAATTTTAATTGGAGCATTAATGCATTGAGAATTATTACAATTGTGCAATCACGTATTTGTTTTATTTGTATTATTATAGGCAAATGTAAGTCAAATGTAAGTAATATTGACTTACATCAACCTGTGCAAAATGAAGCCAATAACCCATTGGCTAATATGTTATGTCAGTACAACTCTGACAGTGACACAGAAGATTCCAAAAAAGATACACAGAAATTGGATGATCAAGTCAACGATTTCTTCAAGGTATAACTAATAATGCGTTTTTATATAAAGAAATCATATTTATACATGTTTCTTGTAGGAAATTCAATTTATTGCTCCAGAGCAACCTATACCGAACATTGCTAATGAACAAAGTTTAGCTATTAAAACAGTTCCACGATCTGCACGACATACAAATCAACGAACATGTAAAGATTTTAAATAAAAATAATATAATAAAATATATATGTACACATAGGGGAGGCATTTAAAACAGGTCACTTGGGTATCTATCATAGAACAAAGTCAGAATCGATTCCAATCAGAATTGTTCAATTATTCCTTAGATTTCTATTGTGTTTTTTGAAGGAAAAACAGAATAATTCATACATGATAGGTACCCTGAATAACTCGCTTGTTTTTAATAATAGAAAGAAAAGTGTCAAACAAAAAAAGTTGCTTGATTTTGAGGGATACATAATGTGATGTCAATAATTGTTTTGTAGATGGAGGCGAAAAAGAATAGGCAAGGGTTAAATCGATTTTTTTAAAATCAAATGATGTTTTTCTATTTACATTCTGATAGTAAATTTTAAGATGAATACAGTGACCTATAATTAAAGGTCATTCAAGGTTACCCAAGGCATTCATTAATGGATAATGATAGAATGAAAAATAAATTGTTTCAAGACACTCTTCAAATAATTTCGTGTCTTCTCTGCTTGTTAGTATACCGCTAATCGTTCAAGTCTATCATGGTATGTAAATAAACATTGAATCGCATATAGCATTATCCATGTTTACTGATTAGTTTGAATTTATCTATCGATTAAAGTGCGTGTCTTGCAAAATATATAGATCACTATAGATAAAAATCATATCGACTTTTTCCGTTTTTGTAAGACACGCATTTCGATCGATAGATAAATTCAAACTGATTAGTAAATATGGACAATGCTATGTGCGATTCAATGTTTATTTACATACCGTGATACACTTGAACGATTAGCGGTATACCAACAAGCAGAGAAGACACGAAATTATTCAAAGAGTGCCTTGAAACAATTTATTTTTCATTCAATTATTTTCCATTATTGACCTTGCGTAAACTTGAATGACCTTCAATTATAGGTTACTGTATTCATTTTAAAATGCTTTATCAGAATGTAAAGAAAAAAACATTCCACTTAAAAAAACAGATTTGACCTTTGCCTATACCTTTACGCCTCCACCTACAACACAATTATTAACATCACATTATGTGCCCCTAGTAACTAATAAACCAAGTAACTTTTGTTTGATACTTTTCCTTCTGTTGTTAAAAACAAGCAAATTATTCAGGTGACCTGTTTTAAATGCCTCATCCTGTATATTACAAACATTATTCGAACATCTATATTTCAGTATGGCAAGAATGCTATGACGAATCTACTGGTTATCCTTATTATTGGCATATCGAAACTAATGAGGTAACATGGGACATGCCAGAAGAATTACGCTTATTACAAAAACAATCAGAAGCAAGACCCAGAGCAAAACATCCCATCCAGGGATCACACTGGGTCAACTTTTCGTCTATTGAATGTAATTGTTATTTTATAAACTCTTCTATTTCTAGTGTGTTTTAGAAAGGAACTATATCTATGAGTATCTTTGCAGATCGGCAGTCCCAAACAAATATACCGGAAGGCATGATACCACAAGAAGTAGTAGCAAGGAATCGCAACAGATTCTTGCACAATGAAACTTCTAAAAAATGTAATTCAGAAAGCACACCAGAAATCAACAATGATTCTCCAACGAAGGACGACGATTGTCCAGAAGATGGGTATATATACAAAAATTATATTTCAAATAGATTTATATTATTTTGACATAATTAAAAAATATATTTCAATTTTATAGACGGATAGAAATGATAACATCTTTTGGCAGCGATGGAAGTGATTCGGAAGATGAGAATAATTCCTCAGATGAAAATAAGATCTCACCGTCTTTATCTGAGTCTGGAAAGTCCAATTCAACATCATACGTAAAAAGCGGCGAAATTGGACCTGTTTTCTGTCCAACAGAAATACAATCCCCTATTAAAAACTTGTTTCATTCGTATAAATCTGATTCAACTGATGTATCAAATTCTACAAATCATCGTGAACAACTCGACGAGCGTGAAATAACTAAATATGATAACAAGACTAGTGTAGTTCAAGGCGAAAAAGAGTCTCTCATGGAAAATAAAAATAAGAAAGATATTAATATACATAATACAATTCCGAAAGGTCTTAATGTATCCTTAGTACCTGGTTATGGAGATGATTCAGATGGAGAAGAGGAAGTTAAACTCAAACAAGAGATAAAGCCTTTGTTTCCAATTGCGCAGAATGAAGAATACATAAATGCAACGAACTCGTTAAAAAATATCCATGATGTTCCCGCAAAAAATTCTGGCAATGTACAAGCTTCCGATCAGTGTAGTGACGTTAATGAAGATAATCAAGAGACAAAGAATGATAATGAAAGAATAGAGGAGAAGGAATCAAAGCTGGATGAAGATAAATCTAAAACAAATATATTTTTGGAAGATATGCAAGTGTGCGGCAAAGCTTTTCAAAGAAAGAAGCGGATAGCATTTGATGGTATATCCATTAGTATCAATATATATTATTATTAATTTTTTAAATTTAAATTAACTAGTAGTTTTTTGAACATGGCCGGAGACACTACCGCGTCTCCAATACTTATGCAATAGCAATTATATTCATTATGTTCTTATCTAATCTTATTCCAGTGATTATATACATATAATAAAAATTACGTTAAAATTATATTTATGTAAATAAATAATTTTCCCTATAATTTCAGTTACATCTACAAAAAAAGTTAAACAAAGTAATAATACATATCAGGAAAATACAATTCGAGATGATAACAGTAGCGATTTTATAAGTAATGAAACTACTTCACGCAATACCGAGGATGACGCGGGTATCAACAATCAGTTTTGTGCAGAAAATCAAAGGGAATGTGACGAAGCACATAAGGAAGAACAGTGCATTAGTATTAAGACTGAAGAAAAGATTAATTCAAAAGACGAATTGTGTGACTTGGAAGTACCTACAGAACATAAAACAATATCGAATATTGAGGGGGAAAAGGCCAACGAAGAGCTTAATAATTTATCTCAGATTATAACGGAGAAATTGAAGTTTCTTTCCGAAGGAAGAGAGACTGTTTCTGCTGTTCAAACAATGCAAATTCAACTACAAGTTAGTGCTTATTTTTACATATTTTTGAAGCATTTAACAATTAATATGAATTTTATTAATATAAATTACTGTATTTATTACAGACATTATCTACTGCATGGACGGCAAGCAGCTTAGAGGATAGTTATTTTCAAAAATGGTTAACTGATACAAATCATGAATTGGAAAGACTAGAACAAGATGCGGCACCAGCTGGTTGGCTATGTCAATGGGATAGGTATGGTATTCCATATGCAATTTGTATTTTTTGATATAAATATAGGTACCTCATAAAGAGGAATATCTATGTTTAATGGCTTTAAATGTATCATTAATTTATACAATGAATATATTTATATCTATGTTTTTATATATTTATACAAATTCTCACATATACAATTGTCATGTACTGCTACTGCTATGATTTCATCCATCATTGAAAAGTTAATTTATTTTTAGTAAAAATTTGTATAGGTGCAAATTAGTTAATTAATAGGTTTAGTATACTAATTAAAAAACACATTTTGAGCAGTTTAATATTTATGACTCTTTTTATAGTATGTATACTAATATAAACTAGCTTCTTATGTTTTACAAGTTCTAATCTATATTTAAATATATTTTTGTATTTATTACTTTTATATAATTTATAAATATTTTATATAAATTAACTCAAGCTAAAATAAGTCATAAATATTATAATAATTAATAATATTAAAGTAATAGTAATTCATAAATGATCAATGTTGCATTATATACCAATGATTATATACAATGATCTTAATATTCAGTAGATACATTTTCTTTTAATTTAGAACAATGACAGCAATGATACATTTTATTATTCCATACGCAATAGTTGTTTTAGCTTAAGTGAAGGTGCAAAGCTCGTAAAAATTACGGTCTCGAAGTGTAACATATCTTCTTAGTGCTAAATCAAGCCTTTGGTTTTGTGATACTGTTAATGTGATAATTAATACGTGTTGAGTGATACATATTTTTAACA